AAGGACATGACCGACAAACTTACGCTTGGTGAGAATAGCTACAAAGAAACCTTCGGATGACAGTCGTTAGGCCTACTTCAGGGGAAAGAAAGTGATGATGCAGAAAATACCCGAAAATCCAGGCACCAAGGACACCCGCTGCGGTTCCCGAGAGTAGAGGTTCCCCAAGAACACCACGAACCTCGGAGGGATGATAACACAGGGCGCTCCACAGATGCCTGAAGAAGTGATGACCCCAGACCAAATCTGATAAGGTTGGTCTTTCCGGCATTTCAAATGGCACCATTCACACTCAGTGTGATCTGGAAAGAAGAAAGTCGCTGGCCACCTGGAGCCCTCATGCAACCTGACAGGCCGTAGAACGGGGGGCTGAGACAAAAGCAGAAGCCATTTGACTTTGTTGTACCTTTGGACAACTTCAATAACGCAGAAACGCGGGTCGGGGAATACTTCGCTGGCAAACTGCACTTAAACAGGTTCCCAGCCCCTACATTTGAGGTTTCAACCAGCCGACCGGACAATAAAGAGGAGCCAGTAAATGTAGTCGAATTAAACAGCACAGGTCTCAGCAGTGGAAACGCACTTAGTTTGACCGGTAAACTAGGTTAACGGTGGTGCTTACTTTCGTGCATCTTACTTCTGAGACAGACGTAAAATCCCCCCGAAATGTCAGATAATGAGCTGGTGTTCGCCAACGGCATGCTGTTTGGCAACTACGGGAAGGCTGATAAGGGGTGGGATGGGGTAGCACTTTAGGTAAGCCTTTCTTCAGCAGCACACCAAATCCGCATTCAAGGCTTGGAATGTCTTGGGGGTTCCAACCGGTGTTCCAGTAAGCAGTCTAGGGCCACAAGTGCCTGATGGAGGGTCATTTATGGGAGGCCGTCTCCTGACATACAAATGATGATCAAGTGTCAGAAGCAACCAGTTGCTCTCCTAAACTGGGCCAAACTTGCGTACGATTTCTAAGAGATTTTAACCTAATGTATATTCACTTCGCAGATCATACGTTCGATTCTGAGTGGGCTAAATTCTTAGATTTGATTGGGAAACTGGGGCTCACGCAAAGCATGAGATCACTAACGCTTTGGAAGGAAACTCAAATCCCATCCCGTCTAGAATGCATCTTCACAGGCGAAGAATTCTTGATTAACAACCTAGCCTTTCTTCCTTCTTAGGGCGGGAGTGACGACACTGCTAGCGGGATTCAGGGAGTCTTGGAAACTAAACTGATTAAACCTTTCGGCACCTGTCTGACCGAAAACTATAGCTCTTTGGGCCGACAGATTGGGGAGCTGACTGTGTACTGCAGGGTGTTCATGTCCACTGGAGACTTATAACTAACAAAATCATGCACGATCCCATCAGTGAGGTCCTACAAGTCGTCCGAAGTAATAGCCAACTTCGCTCGCAAAGCAATCTTGTTAAAATGAGCCAACTGGGTTGATCGTACAAGAATTGGCACTGAATACGCATCAGACCATTCTGACCGATATGAAACATGCGCGTGTAGGCACTGAAAGACGATAGGCGAAGCCATTAAGTTGGGCCCACAAACACGTTTATCCTTAATCCAGGAAGTCTGTTCCACTATTCTGCGTCATCCCGGCAGGCTAAAGCAGGAGTTTCTCAACTAGCGGCTTCCCGTGGGCTAATTAGTAATAAGAAAGAGACGGCTGAACGTCTAGCTGATCATTATTTACAAATCTTTCCATCAACGATCCCCTGAACAGGAGTTTATTAGTATCCTCCCTAACCAGCTAGCACAGCGCAAACCGCAACTTTCCACAGAATACACTTTTCAGTGTGTTGGCGAAATTCATGCGGCGGACCACTGACTCTAGCTCAACCTTCTAGCAAGTTGCTCTAGGATTCTAAAAGTGAAAGGAAAGTGTCCGGTCCTGGGAGGTTGAGCCGCGTAACTTCAATCTCTGAGGTGGGCTGAGGATCACCTCACGGCGGTCACCTTCTCACACCCCAACAACAAAGACTTGGAAGAGGATACTCCTGCATTACCAGCCCATTCACTGCAGTAAAAAGATGGGCCAACATTGTCTGTGGTCGAGGTCGAATTAAGGTTATTTATCCAGACTTATCTAAGGTGTTTGGTCGTGGTAATAAGGGCAGCCAAATAGAGAAATGAATTCGGGACTTCAGGTGAATGTGGAGGAGACAAATGAAGATACTCAACCAACAGCAACAAGCACCAATCACCATGAGTAGGAAAAATATAAAAGAAGAAGTCTCTTTCACCTACCTAGGCAGCATTGTTCCAACCACAGGTGGCGGCGACACAGATGAGGACGCCAAATATAAGCACAAAACCTAAGACAAAACATTTAATAGTGGGCATGACACCGTGTACATCAGTTAAAATTTATGTACAATTAACTTCCTTGTGTCTTGACACCCCACTCTCAGTTTTCTCTATTCTTATTGTGAATAGAACCTTGGAAACCTGCAACAAGATTGAAATTACGATATTTCATCAGTACTATTCTTAAATACCACTGTACTCATCTTCTAGTAACTACTCTGCAACCCTGCGACCTGCGATGAACATTCTTATGGCACCACACGAGGATACTTTCTTGAAGCCCCTTGACATTCACCCAGTGTTTCAGTGACTGGCGCCATTTCGTCCCCCGCAGCCGTAAACAGCATATGTAAATGCAGAAAAACACTCACAACCTTATCTACAGAAGCGGATTCTTTGACTTGAAACTCAGGAGAATTTGGCCAATATTCACCGGGCTATTAAGCACAATTCACAGGCTCATGGCAGCTGCCATGGACAAATGTTCAATTTAGCATGAAAAAAATGGATCGTTCCATCGGGAAGGTGATATATTGTCATCAGTCTTATCTATTATCTCTACAGTATATCTTGACGTTTCAATGAACCTGGAGATCCTTTGAAAAAATATTGAATCTGCCGTGGTACTTCGCTCACGTTATATGATCCTTCAAATCAAAGCACTTGGGTAATCTAGCCAGCTCTACTGTTTTTCGAGCAAAAAGTTGCTGAGTTACTTCCCCTTCTTTTTGAGTAATGCTTTTACATATTCATTAGATACGACTATCATTTCTGCCAGATCACCTAAAAGTATTACAAAAATTCGAATTTAGCTTAAAGTGCACTATTTGTTCGTGAAGTGAAGTTTCCTTTCTTTCAAACTGAGGACTTCCACTACCTGGAACGAAAAGATGATAAAAACGTCTTGTAAAAATATGCTACCAGAGGTTTTCCAAAACTAACTGTTATAACCTCACCTGTAAAAATGATGTGCATCAGTAAATTCTGGCATAAATCATCATTATTATTGTTACTACTATTATTAAGCCATGATCGGTTAAGCAGGATGGGCTTTCTTAATCTGAAATCAGTGTGGAGAGCCAATACACCGCACTCCACTCAGCATAAAGCGTGAACAAGATCCAGATTTTCAACACTGATTTAGTCAAGTAAGTCCTTCTATATGGTTCAGAAACTTGGCACGTTACGAAAAGCTTTTCCAACAAACTACAGACATTTATCAACCGCTGTCACCTACGCTCACTCGACACTGACACTGAAGATCAGATGACCAAAAAGAATAAGCAACAAGGAACTCTGGCTGGCAACGAACCAACCAAGGACCTATCGTCCAGCAAATATGCAGAAGAAAGTGGAGATATATCGGACATAGACTGAGAGGACGATTTGGGGTCATCACGCACCAGGTCCTCGAGTGGAGTCCAAAGGGGAAACGACGAGTTGGGCGTCTGAGGGTAACATGGGGGAGATCGTGTGTGGAAGAAATGGAAGCTTGTGGGCAGTCGTGGAGCCGGGTTGAAAAGACTGCAGAGAAAAGCGTGCATTGGAGGCATGCCACTAAAGCCCTGTATTGCACCAAGAATCCAAGAAACAATTAATAAGTAATAAAAAAAATATGGAAAGACCAAAATTAGTTGTGATCAACGATCACCCACTGACTTATTGTCCTCATATCAAAGAGAGAGCTTAATAAGAGTCAGAGTGAACTTCTCTTCCTGAGGAAATAGAATGTTCCAGTGGAGTCTGCAAAAGTTCACTTAGGAGGCCTCTTCTCTCTTCAATATTCATGGTAGTTTCATCCCAGGAGGCTCCCTTCAAAATCACTCTTTTCCTACCTGTTACGTGAAATCATAGGGAGGAATCAAAATTCGCGAAAACAGTGTTTTTCTGCAGGCACACCTAACAGCTTCAAAACCAGGTAACCTATAATCGGATGGCTTTATTGCCTAAAGAATTCAAGATTGTGCATTTGGAACATGATCCACATACATTAGATAGACTCAGAGGTAAGAAACTTGGAGTGCGCTAGACGGAGAAGGATTGGGGCATATAAGTCACTCAAGACTTAAAATTCTATATCAACTGTTGCAGAAGTGCATTTCATGGTAACTCGTAGTCAGCAACTCTGAGACGAATTTTCGAAAAGTTTGTTCACAGATAATTTTGCAAAATTTTCGACAGCTTCATACTGCCTCAAAAGAAATTTATAACTGCACTCCTCTCCTACACTGCACGATGACAAATTTGGCCTTAAACGCACCCAGTAGTAGTCGATCAAATCACTCCTAATTCTTAGGTCTAAGCATATAAAGAACGCTTGGTCACGCTGGTCACTACGGGCTGGCTTGATACTGGCTCACAACATCTTGAGCACCCCTGAACACCCACATCAGTGTTTACTGAATTTTGGTTGCTGCTCTAGTTCTAGAGGAGGTACAGAAACTAGGCCTATAAGATAACAGGTTATACATCAGACGCAATCCGTATTCCCCAAGAGTTGGTGAACCTTAGAATGCTGTTCCTGAAGAAGGGATATAGACCACTTCATCGACAGTTGAATCATAAATTAATCACTCAAATGAAGTCATGTGATCACGTCCACTTTCAACTGCCTATGACCCTGATCCAATACCCTCCTATGTAATTGGCAATTGGACCGTAACCGTCACCTTGATGATAAGCCAAATAATGGCGCGGTTTAATGCATGCATTAATCTAGAGTGAGTTTAGCATTTCTTTTGAAGTCGCCTACCGCCTTACAAACCGTGGGTAGCAGCTGTGCTTATGATAAGCTAATTGGTTACATAATTGAACTGGACTAGGAAAGTAAGTTACCATTCTAAACAGTTGTTTACACGTTCTTTCCGTAAGGTTGTCCAATAAGACAGACTTACAGCTTAAGGAACCATTGTTCACAATTTCTGCAACACAGAATTTTAAAGTGGTGGGTTTTTAAGAATCAAAATAAGCTGGTAGGCACATTGTGCAACCACACTGCGTAAACTCACGTATCCCTAGAAACTCGCAAACCGAAAAAATGAAACGAAGGGTAAATAATGAGGCAATCCAACATAATGGATATTTTGACTGTAACGTTTGAGAAACCATTGAGTCATCACGCAGGTGTAATTTATTTACTGTTTTAGAACTCTATTCATGTTACAAACATTTCAAATTAGAAAATAATCACGTCATTATTATTATTATTATTATTATTATTATTATTATTAGTTCCTTGGGTTCCTAGTGGAACATAGGGCTTCAGTAGCACGCCTCCAGTGACCTCTGTTCTCTGAGATCTTTTGAACCTGGTCCCACGACAGCCCACAAGCTCTCATTTCCTCCTCGCACGACCTCCTCCATGTCACCCTCGGACGTCCAACTCGTCGCTTCCCATGGGGATTCCACTCGAAGGCCTGACGCGTGACGTCCTCAGTCAGCCTTCTCAGTGCATGACCAATCCATCTCCACTTCCTCCTGCATATTTGTTGGTGATAGGTTCTTGGTTGGTTCGTTCCCAGAGTTCCTTGTTGCTTATTCTTTCTGGCCATCTGATCTTCAGTAGCGAGCGTAAGCAGTTGTTGATGAATGTCTGTAGTTTATTGGAAATGCCTTTCGTGACGCGCCAAGTCTCTGAACCATACAAGAGCACTGACTTGACGTTGGTGTTGAAAATCCGTATCTTGTTCCGCATGCTGAGTGCAGAAGATCTCCACACTGGTTTCAGGCTAATGAACGCCTGTCTTGCAGTCTTTCCGATTCTGACTTTGACATCCTCGTCTGTGCCTGTGCTGCCTGTAGTTGAAACAGTGCTTCCTAGATAAGTGAAGGAGGTTACTTCCTTCAAGTTTCCTCCATTGATGGTGATTGGAGTTTGTTGTTGTTGTTGATGGTGGTGGTGCGGCATCTTCATCACTTCTGTCTCCTCTATATTCACTTGAAGTCCCGTCTTCGCTGCCTCTTCTATCAACTTGTTAGTTTTTGCCTGCAGATCTTCAAGTTTATGTGACATTGAGCACAAGTCATCGGCGAAATCCAAGTCTTCTAGGTTCTTTTACGTCGTCCAGTGTATCCCCCTCTTCTCGCTGCCCACTGTTTGCTGCATGATCCAGTCCACCACAATAAGGAATATCATGGGGGATAGTAGGCAACCTTGTTTCACTCCTGTCTTCACTTCAAAAGCATCACTGAGCTTCCCATTGTGAATTACTTGGCATGTGGCATCTTCATATAGTTGTTGAATGAGGCTGATAAAGGTTTTGCGGTACTCCGTAGTATTGAAGCAGCTTCCAAATTACTTCTCGGTCGACGCTGTCAAAGGCCTTCTCAAAGTCGATGAAGTTGAGGCAGAGAGCTGATTGCTATTCTATGCTCTGTTCTATGATGATGATAACAAGCGTTGCAATTTGGTTGGCACATGATTTGTACTTCCTGTAGCCTGCCTGTTCCGGTCATAGTTTTGAATCCAGTGCATCTTTAAGCCTCTCCAGGATGATGCGGCTTAATATTTTACTTGGGGTGGACAGGAGAGTGATTCCGCTCCAGTTCTTGCAAGCACTGAGGTCTCCTTTCTTCGGCAGTTTGACAAGGTAACCCTTCTTCCAATCGTCAGGTACCTTCTCTTCCTTCCACACCTTCTGCAATAGTGGTGTGAGCATATCCGCTGTTGTCTCTGCATCTGTTCTCAGTGCTTCTGGCGGTATCCCATCTGGTCCTGCTGCTTTCCCGCATTTCAGTAGCTTTATGGCGTTCAGGACTTCCATTTTCGTTGGGGGATTAATGTTCACTTGTAGTTCAGCGGCTGCAGGTGGTATTTCTGGACGAAGTGCAGGTGGTGGTCGATTCAAGAGCTTCTTGAAGTGGTCAGCCCATTGTTTCCTCTGTTTCTCTTCTTTTGTAATTAAATTTCCTTCTTCATCTTTTATTGGTTTCATCTGTGTTGATCTCTTCCCAGATAGCAACCTGGTTATTTGATACAATGTCGTCAGGTCTCTCTTACCTGCAGCCTGTTCTGCTTCACTTGTCAGTGTTTCGTAGAAGTGTCTTTTGTCTTTGCGTGCACTCTTCTTCACTTCTTTATCCAGTGTTTTATACATTGTGCTCAGTTCCTCTTGTCGTTGAGCATCCTTGCACTGGTTTATCTTCTGCTTCACCATCTTCCTCTCCTCTATCAGCTCCCAGGTATCCGTCGAGATCCATTCCTTATCTTCTTTCTTCTTCCTTCCTAATACGGCTGTGCAGGTTTCTTTCCACATAGCTTTCAAAGACTTCCAGTGTTCATCTACACAGGTTTCTTCAGGGATGTTCCTCGATATCTTCCATTTTGTCTTGATGGCTGACTGGTGAAGATCTCCTTTGTAGTTTCATCCTTCAGTTTCCGAGTGTTGTACTTGAATTGAGGTCTATCACCAGCTTCCTTGAAGGCTTTTAACTTGATTTGGAAGGTAGGTTCCTTGCACTAAATAGTGGTCTGAACCTACATCTGCTCCTCTTCTTGACCTTGTGTCAAGTAGACTGCGTCTCCATTTTCTTGAGATTGAGATAAAGTCGATTTGATTTTTAGTGTGTCCATCTGGTGAAATCCATGTCGCTTTGTGGATATCTTTGTGCCTGAACACACTGCCTCCAATCACCAAATCGTTGAATGCACAGAATTCTGCAAACAATTCTCCATTCTCATTCATTTCACCTAGCGCCTCTCGACCCATGGTTAGTTCTCTTCCTGTGTTGTTCCCTCCCAGTTTGGCATTCATGTCGCCCATTAGAATTTTGATATCGCCAACTGACGTCTTGTCCAGTGTTGATTGAAGTTGTCTGTAGAAATCCTCCTTTTTCTCTTGCTCTGCATTATTTGTAGGTGCATAACATTGTATGATTGTGACCTTCCTTCTTTTTGAGTTGAACCTTGCTGTCATGATCCTGGAGGAGATTGGTTCCCACTGCATGAGAGCCTTCGATGCTCTTGAGGACATCATGATAGCCACTCCCTTAGTGTGCTCGTGGTTGTCGTCTGGGTGACAATATCGGAGTAGATTATTTATTCTCCAGTTGACAGTTTGGAGAGTCCACTCCCATTCCATCTGCTTTCGCAAATCCCAAGCACTTCGATGTGATACCTTCTCATCTCCTTTGCAATCTGGGCTGCCTTACTGGGTTCAAACATCGTGCGGGCATTCCATGTCCCCACGTTTACTTTCGCTTTCATCGAGAGAGAGAAGACACATCGGCCAATTGGCTTCCCGAAGGCTTTCATCAACTGGCGTCATTTCGCCTCTCCGATTCCAGCGGGGAATAAGTTTGTTTTGATTTTTTATATTTTGTTTGTGCTTTGAAGTTTCTTTAGCGGTTAGATTTGTTTTACGTGGTAGGGTTGCTAGCCCTATGCCCAACCTTCCCTCTTTACCCGGGCTTAGGACCGGCTAGTAACTAGTGAACTAGTTAACCAGGCGAGGTTAATCACTTCATTAGTAATATATATATATATATATATATATATATATATATATATATATATATATATATATACTGCTGAAAATACTTTGGCCTGCTGAATTTAGTGTGGTTACTGATTTGAAAGTTTCGCACTGTGAATTGAAGCTTACGAAATATTAAATATGGTACACCTGCTTGATGAGCTGATGCTTTAAACGTTTTAGTCAAATATTCATTACAGTTATCATTAGTATTTCCCCATATTTGTTAGTTTAGGTGTGGTCAGGCTCGTTTTCCTCTTGTCTATGGCTGATAAAAGGTATCACTATGTACTGTCGCCACAGCTGCAAGCAAATGGCCTCACTGAAGACTATTCAACACCTCATCTCGCCAGTACCTTAACATTAATGATGTCCTCAGTTATAAGTTTCCATCCGATTCATAGCCGTTCTTGAACCTTTTTGTTACGGTTCTCATCTGAGTGCTTCCCACCACTTCAGTATTTTTTATCCAATATTTAAAGTGTAAACGTATCCTAACCAACAGTGGACTGGATAGTTTAAAAAAACTTCGACACCTAGTTAGTATGGTTCATCGTATTAGGTGTATTTTTTACTTGTGTAATCCCAGACTAACACAGGACAAATAACAAAATAAACAATCATACAAAATGTCTTTTTTATTCGTCATGATATGATACGCCGGGATTACACAAGTAAAAAACACCTTACAAAATGAAAAAAGCCTTGTGACGTAGTCATGGACCAAACTGACTAGATTCCCATCCAAGATCTTATAGTCCATGGATATCAGAAGCCTAACCGGAGAGTGAGAACAACCAGCTCGTAAAAGTCAGGTCTGTTTCGGGCATGAACCAGAGTACATCTACCAGATCTTCGTCCTTCATAGTCATACTTGTCGATGCCTAACATTTTGCTATGTTTCTTGACCAAAAGGAGGAATTGACCTCTACCGGCCTAGAGGTGTTTGCCCGACCGAACGCTGTCCTCTTGACGTGGTGGTCGGGTTTACATATCACAACAAGCTGCGCTGGTAGAAATTCTTATTCTTTGTTTATAACTATGCCAGAAAGTTTTTTCGAAAAGTGGTAAAACGAAAAAACAGCTACCGTTGTAGTGTAAATTGTTATGACGGGGGTGTGAAAGCGAAGTTGTCATGCTGGTTAAACAGGGTGACAGCATTAGCATGTTTTCCATGTTATGACCAATAGTATCATGTTGACGCTGACTCCCTACAGGAAAAAGGAGTAGACAAGCCTGGTCGCCACAAAAGCACCTCTTTGTCTCGGGATTTTCCATTGCCTGTGGTATGGGTTTTTCCTATCTGTCTTTAGATGAATTAAATCTCAAACCAAAAGTCCCCAAAAGGCTGTTTGACAAGCCTCAAGCAGATGTTCTATTGGCTCTGTGGTCACGCAAATCTACTCCCTTGTCACTTTTAGATATCCTGCAGAAACTATCCACGATGTGAACAATCAAGAAGTATGGATTGTTCACACGCTTCCAGCATTACACAGAACCCAATAAAACAACTTACCCTCCATAACTCTGTCTATAACTTTGTCTGTACTTCCTGAAAGCAATATTAAGCCTCTTACAATATCCCGGACCTCTCACTATGCCACCACTGCAAACGACCCAAGCCAACGAAATACCATTCGTAGTCTCCCAAGACCTCGCTGTCCATTTCAACACCAGAACCCTATTTTATCCCCAGGAGAGCAGGTATCTCTTACCAGAACCCGAGACTTGAGTGTATTTTGTGTTTCTAAGACATGTATGCAAGACCTGGATGTAGTGTTCACTTGACCAACACGGCGAGTCTATGAGATTCACTTGACGAATATCTGGAGATTGATGGCGAACTCTCGTAAACTCGCTGGTGTGGACATAGTACTGAATCCCCAAGCAAGAAGTGCACTTCTTAACTGGATACCGGTGTGTGCAATCATACTAAGTGGATTTGTAAGAACAGTCGCTGAACTTGCTGTTGCCTAGTTGTAATCACCCACACGCTCACCGACTAGAGTTTGGATGGTGAAAAAGATGACTTCTATCAAAAACTGTCGATTTCGCTGCATAAAGCAAAGCGTTCAGATATAGTCACAATAGCAGGTGAATTCAGCGCTTAAGTAGGATAGCTGACCCAATTGGAAAGGAATCTTGGAGATAGTTACGGAATCCCATTTCAACAAACTGACAATGGTGATTGTTCTGTGCAATTTTGTCTTAACAATTTTTTATTTCCGGCCAACACTAATTTCAAGCATAAGAAGAGACATTGTCTGAAGAAGTTACAGATTTTCGACCTCAGTTGCTCTCATGGTATTGGTCACGTATGTAGAGTCACTGTGTAAGCTGTATTGAGATTAGATGGAAGCTACTAGACCATCCATTCGATGAGGTGAAACTATACCTTCTGAGCTGGTTTGGGTATGTTACGCATGTCTAACCACCACCTTCCTGGACTTACAATGTCAGCTGGAGCAGGATTGTGTCAGAACAAGATTCAAGGTGGCCAAATCGATCCATGGCACCACTCCATAAGGTCTTTGACTTTTGGTTTGGGTTGTGTAGAGTATAAACTGGTTGGTCACGTCCCTGAAGGTGTTGAAAATCAGTGGTTTGAAAAACTTGGTGACATGGCTGAAAATCGATCACAATGGTGCAGATGTTTTCATTCGTTGATATCCTCGGAAGTTTGAAGATTTTCATTAACTTTCACCTTTAAACATTGTATCTGCTCCTGTACACTGCTTTTTGATCCACCTGTTCTTTGGATGCCGCAGGGAAATATAGAAACTTGAACCAATGCACTTTTGTGTCAGGCCCCACATTGATTTGTCTGTCTGGAGGGAAAGGTGGATCACTGCATCTTCGTTCGTCACTTCAACGCATGGGATAGGAATAATTGAACACCGACTCTAGATGTATAGAAATTCCTGTTAACAATAAAGTGAAAGAATTTAAAGTACTAGGACTATATAAGCTTAATCACAAAGCTGTGTGATTACCATGATATGATTATGAGAAATAAATTGTACTCGTAACGCCATGCAGCAAATAATATCTTATTCACTGTGTACTATATCAAGTAGACCAAAATGATGTGTTTCATCGTGTTTGGCCGCGCGGCATTTGAGGTTTTCTGTCTCTAGACAAGTCACATATCCTTAAATATGTTTTGCCCACTCTCAAACAACCACCGGCTAACGAAAGTTACGGCAGATTAGTCACAACGTCTACTATATCGAAATTTACCTAAGATCCAAAACTTGTGGTGATCCTAGAAGCAAGCACAAAGAAATCAGCTAATTTATACTTGCTCATGAAACAGGTATTAGATACAGTTCCAAAATAACCTAAACATTTCACCCCAGATTCCTAAAAATGCCTAGGTGTGCAAATATTAATTAGGATTTTGAAAACTACAAAGTGCACTTCAGACTCTCAAAACTTATAAAGTGTGACCAAAATTTCTGAAAATTATGAATTGTGTAAAAAGCACTTTGTGGTTCCTATCCAAAGTATTTACCGTGCAACCCGTAGTGTTAGTCGACCGGGAAACACCATGATCTTATTTTGAGTTTCCGGTAATGGTATCATGTGAAAATAAAAGCTTTGGGTTCTCCGAGGTGTTTCACTGAATATATAAACTTACAGTATGCGCATCCTAGAATTTGTAAGCAAATGACCTCACATTTTATCTTTTTGTTCTGTCTGTATTCGAAAAATACGCTTGATGATTAAGCCTCTCTGCAGTCCAACAAGAATGCGGGAAACGTACTGATTGTTATGGAACGTAGGAATGCGACTTTTAATTTTTCTTTCTCCACAGCCTGCGTTTTTTCCTCAGGTTTTCCCATAGCCTGCTCACTTTTTATTCAACCTGTAGTTAAACCTTCCTTTAATTACTTCCATGTGCTTTTAGTTCTTGTCGTGACATAGGAACCTATTCACACTATTATATTGTCAGGTCTAACGAAGACCAAAAGAAAACCACAGTGATCAGTAATGAATAGAAAAGTTATGATCTCGGAGTAAACACGTATTTCAAAAATCTGTTGAAAGAACTAGATAGGCCTATACTCATTAGTTTTAATTACGTATTGCATTTATTTAAAAGCAAATTTAAAGTTAGTCATGGCATTAGCAGAAGTATCTTACTGACACTAAGCAATATTACATAAAATGTCAACTGACCTGCATTGTAGATTCTGATACATTGGTGAATGCATGATGATATAATAAGCAGGGAATGAATCGCATGCTGCATATAACTTACAGTCGTCTTTGGTTTGGTGCAGTTTACAACCTGGTCTCAGAATTCATTGAGGTAGAACTCATTCGATATCTTTTTGATAGCAAAATACTTACGAATTTCGATATAATAACTGAGTTAGGGAGAGAAGTACACAGTTTAAATTCTCGTAAGAGAAACATTGAATGATTCCTGCCTTTCTTAAAGTTCTTAACTTCAAAATGAGTTCCACTTGATCGTGGATTTCATCATTAACTTGATATAATACCATGTAGCATGATACGATCATGGTTAGTAGTTTTACCCAAAATATCACAACTGGAAACTTATTATTGTATGTAAATACTCATTAAACATATTTTTAGAGTAAAATAGTATTCCTACTCACATATTCCTCCTGAGTGTTCATGTTGCGACAATATAGTGTTAAGCCATTCAAAAACAGTGGAATCTTCTCTAAGAGTATCTGCTACCAGATTCTGCATTCATTTCTTTCAGAAAAGTCCTGTCGTATTCTTTTAGGTAATCAAAATTTACGTGCTGAATTAGTACATACAAAAGGTTCGCAACTGGAATTAAGAGACTTTGTTTATAACTGACGCATTCAACCACTAGGATCATAAAGAGTTCAAGTATATAAAGTCATTGTTATTAGCACCCATAGACTACACAGAACTTCGCATAATGGCGTATGTATTCAAGTGTTATGCTTTAATAAGCACACCAAAGGGAATTCCTGCAAATGAGTGACAGGCGAATATAATGAATGTCAGCTGATGTAAAATGCCATAAAACAAAGAAAATGTAGTATTGTGACGACTAGCCCTTAGTAGGTTTTCGTTTAACCTGTAGGTAGATTGCTACAAGCGAAAGCGAACAAAAGAATATTGCAGGCATAGAAATCTGAAAGAACGAGAAGAAAGTAAAATGACGACAGTAAGCATAAAGAATAAACTCATATGTAGTTATAAGAAACAACTGATAAACGCTGTTATTACGCTATAAATTAAGGCAGTTTAGAAATTAAAGCTAGAAGGTAAATGTGTAAGATTTTGTGGCAGTAAATACATATGATTGGAAGATTTCTAAGATTGAGATAAAGATGTAACGTATGAGCATCTGTGCTATTGATAAATTCTTTGTTATATCAGCTATTCTTTTCGTTGCAAACTACAACCAGAAAGTCTACGTAACTCAGACCAATAGTCAGAGGCTTAATGGGTTATAACCACATCTTGTTTTGAACTTCATTAGTCTTTTAAACCTTCGCTACTCAAATTAACACAATAGGTAATTAGTGATGCGTACATATTGTCGTCTTGTATTTTCCACCATATCACCTAATGAGTTGTGTTTTTCCTTTCGTATTTTGAAGAGTCGAAAATACGAAGTGTAGTCTTATCTAGTCAGTTAGTCGTTCCTTATCAATGCGGATTGCTGCCACGCTTTAACTACTCACAAAAAATATACTTCTCAAATTACTTTTTTATATCTAAATCATGATAATATGTTCATCCACGCTTATATAAGCCTTCTATTTTGTAGGTTTATATATTGCATTTTCACCAGTCTGAAACCAATATTCTGCGCATTACATTTTGTAGATGATTCTTCCGTCTTCTGTTCCTAAGCGTAAGAAAGCTGAAAAAGAACTTCTGAAAAACTCACATACAATAGAGCCTAATGAGTTCATTTGCAAGGTATGCATTGGATTGTGATAAAAAACTTATTTCCAGTTGATGAAATCTTGTGGCAACTATATGTTCACTTCTATGACAGAACAAGGTGAAGAAATTTTTGTGTCAATCCCAGAACGATTTCGCAATGCCTTCTATTTTGCTCAGGGTGATTTTGTTATTTGTTCACCGTTGAATAACAAGAGAGTTAAGGGTGAAATTCGTACCGTGTTACAGAAAGATGACATTAAGTCACTTGTGGATGTCTGTCGATGGTGAGCTTTTCCATAATTCTAAGGTTTCGAACTGCATACTTCCAAATTGATGGTTGCGATCGTTTAAAATATATTTCCTAGTTTATTCACATTATTTGACTCACAGATTTATTGAAGCCACTGATTATATGACCACTCATATCGCTTTCTATAAGATAAGCCACTTGGTGTAAAATATTTTCGATGGCTGCCGATAGGTAGCTATGGTGTACACAGATTCTCCGTTGGAGTTCAGTTATGAACTGCAAAGCAAATTAAATATAAGATAACATTCACCGTGGACTGACATCAGTTGGAGAACCATTGAAAACCTGGGACCACTGAATGGATGGGACTCAGAAGTACGCACCCACAACCCCGCCAGGGATGGAACTTAGCACCTTCAGTTTTCACGGTGAATGCGTTAGCCACTCACTCAGTGGGACAAAGTCCAATGACCCTACTTTTGTCAGTTCATGATGTATTTCGCAAATATCCACCATGGTCTTCAGTTTAGTGCTCACTACTGAGAAGTCCCATAGTAGGACGAAAAAGCTGTCCGATACTTAATGTCTTCCAATAGTTTTCCAACTGACGTCACTCAGTAATGAATACTACTTTGAAATAAATAGAATCTCTATGAACCTTGAAATAAATTAGATATAGTTTATATTTGTATAAATCTCAACGTATTTGAATAGGTAATTCCAAGGTTTCGCACGGAAGTTTGTCCCAAGCTTCTTCAAGTAAATGATCGGATATATATATATATATATATATATATATATATATATATATATATATATATATATATATATATATATATATATATATATATATATATGATTTTTGACGATTTCCTTGGAGAGTCGTGGACTAGACTTCCTTGCGAAAAACTGGAATCATTTATTCCAAACATGCTGAGATTTATGGGGACATAACTTATACAATACCAACTTTCCATTCGGTGGCCAATATTTGTGGAACTCTCCGATCAAATCTTGACAAGAATTCACATAAACAAAACGAGTTTCAGCTCATGGTTGACTTAGGCGTCGACTAGAAAGCGATATAATGTTTTTCCTTATTGATACTAGGTGATGACCGAAATGGAAATGAATGTTTGAGTTTAGTGATTGTCAGAGGAGTTGTATGAGACAGTCACTGTCCTTGGTCTGTCTACGCGGGATACTGTAAATACTGCTAAGTTGCTTTTCCAATTGGGTCAGCTTTCCTATTTGAGCGTTTAAGTCACCTGTTAGTACTACTATATCTAAGCGTTTTACTTTATATATATCAAAATTAACAGCTTTCGGTAATCGTGTTCTCTCTCATCTGAACTGCGATCAGTGAGTTCGTAAAGCAAAACTGGAAATAGGTATTGGTTAGTGTTATGATGGTCTCTGGGTTTTACAGACCCATTTTCCTATCCAAACCTCTTGATATTTAAGTATGGTTACCAGAGTTTATTATTGATAACTTTCTTTAATTGGATGTTTGTCGCAGGTTTTGTCTTTACACTTAGTGATAACAGTTATCAAGTAATGTATGTTAATCTTTTGCCTCTCTTTCCATTAGGCCTGAAATCTTCACTATGGATATCACGAAAGGAACTTCTACGAAAAGTGATAATTACATCTCAGAAGATATGCTTCCTTCATGTTCTGATACTTCAGACTCTGATACCGAATATGTGTCGGACAATGGCTAAAATAAATAATTTGTATTTGCTTTAGTTTTGTAATTATCCATTGTAAAGTAAAAAATCTCTTCTGAACAAAGTTTGGGTTTGGTATGAGGTGTAAATGTTTTCCGGGAAGAGCGATCAGTCAGTGATTCGAAATTGAACGAGTATTCTGTGGTCTTTGTGGTTTCTTTAGTGTAAGCGTAGGACTTATACACCGTGGTAGTGTATAGTTCCATATTAAATTATGTATTCGATATTGCACACGGTGAAACAGTATTAATTACTGAATGACGCTTCAAATTGAATTTATTATTCATATTGATTTAAATATGAACGGCAAATTCAATTTCAAACATCATCCAGTAAATAATACTATTTCACTATGAAATATCAAATCAACAATCTAATATGAGATTCGTGGTTTCTTATTGAATATTATAATCTGATCACCTTTAGGCACTTTTTTTCTTCTAAATAAAATCTGTATCGACGTGAAATACAAGTGATATGACATAAATTTCTGGGTTTATTAACCAGGCTGTGGGCCACAGCATAAGTGACACTGCATAGCTCCCCAGAGTTTAACAGACAATTCGGCGTTTGAAGGCATGACCTACTAGTTACAATCTTGGTAACTTGCCACTAAGCCATCGTATTGTGTGGCTTAGTATGTTTCTTACTCCATGTCTACGTTAGTGGATTTTTTCGTTGTCAGATGTTTTTCTCTTTTTCACTTGCATATTCTTTACTCTGTTAACCATAGTATTCAATGTGATGGATGTTCACTTTCGAGAAATTGAAATTCACTTGATAATAGTTGCAACTCAGTGCATAGGAATGGTATGAAACTAGAAAGGCATCAGATCTCCAATGTTCAATAAACATATCAATATCATTCTGTTAACGTGGCTCTAATGATTATTATTCTGGTGTTTGAAATGTGCCAGAATAAGTTCCATGCTTCAGTGTTCTGGTTCATGCATTCTTTTTTCGAAATTATATGGAGCTGTATCTACTTTTGGTACAAACATCTGTAATGCTTTCGGAACTTATTAGGAAATGGGGGGTACCGTATGGAATATAATGCAATAAATATTAAATGGCAAACATCTATTTTAATCGCAAGGCTTACAAACGGTTACAGTATGAAACCGTGCAATACTTCAAGTAACAATTGAAAATTGGGAAAGTGTATACACCAAGTCATGTTTAATACCACTGTATCTGCAGGTTTTTGGACTTGAAAGTGATTGTATCGACCGGATTTTCACCCTCCACCAGGTGTTGGAACACAAGCCTGCTGGTACCTTCCACTAGTTGTGTTTCTTGACCTGAAGGTAATGTTCAACTCTGTCGAGATTTAGTATCGCAGTATCTCAATGAATAGGCTGCTGGGAATATACATCACATCTGTGAAAGCTGTCAATTCAGACACATGGGTGTGTTAGAGTCTACGGCGAGGTACCAGGTAAGTTTTCTACGTCGAGTGGTGTCGATGAGAAAAGTCTACTCTTCGTTTTTATTCACGTTTGTCGTAAGTATGTTAGTGATAGTCTCCCTCTCATCGTCGTATTCTGAAGGGTTGTACCTCCTCACATGAAACTTCTTAATAGACCTGTTGTTGCTGATGACACTGACAACATGCAGTCTTGTAGACACTGAGAGATATTTTAGGAATGCTTGGGGTACATATATTACCACCCAAGTGCAAACTGTTATTCCTGGGTTGGTCTTCGTTGACATATGTGACAGCTGCGGTTGAAGTGTTGAATGTGTTAGGGATTTTACGTACTTGGGAATTTGTTTCAACCGTTGTGCGTTGTTGGTCGACGAAATCTCGACATGGTAATGAGTTTGGGGAAATGTTCGTTGAAAATATTATAATTATATAAGTGCTCTCTTATCTAATGGAGTTGCGTGCATTTGAAATTTATTTAGCGAAACTGTTGATCTGTTGTAGCAGCTGTTGCACGATGGCAGATATCCATCTAGGCGAAATGAATGGGATGAAATGCCAGTTCTAGAGTAAGGGGTTGGGGAAAATAATGCTTAGTCATGATAATTGGTATAAAAAAAATCCACTTTGGACGAAAACTACAACTGACATCTTCAAAATGATGTTCAGTTTTCAAAGTTAATCTTCTGGAAATCATAGAGAGTATGGCGTTGAACACTGTAACAGGATCTAATCCCATTTAAGTTAATTCGTTCAGTGTATTGCCTTAATTACTCGGTGCTCATCAGTGATGCATCTCATCAGCCTTGAAGAAATTGACATCCTTTAGCAGATTTGAGAACACATCATCCAATGATACAGTTAAAAACCACTAGTTTGTTGTGCCACATTGAATGCATTAAATTTTGTGTAACAGGTGATTGTAGGGGATTCTGACTTTCTAACACTATTTTGTGGTCCTGCATTCATGCAAAAAACCAATCCGATAGGGAAGATGAGTTCTAGAGTGGCCTGTGAATGGGAATTTTCTGACAGAGGTTTTCATGTGTCTAGCGTGAACGCAAATGAGCAACCTCTGTAATTATCAGCATACAGGATAGCCTTGAAACTTGACTTCTTTTCTACAAGCATCTTTCTGTATACGTGCTTTCGACAAAATTCGTTCTTTTGAACCGGGCATTCACTAGTTCCAATTATATGTACAATTATAGTTACTGTACCTGGCTGATCACTCGCTGGTTATTTCAACAAAGCAGGATAACGTGATTACCCTTAAAAAGAATCTGAAACTTAGATTGTATTTAGTGATCAGTACTATCTAAAAGATCGCAAAGTAGTTGAATACTGTGACCGGGTTCTCCTCTCCAATTTTTCTAGTGCATGGGGTTGGTCACTCCTGGAACTGAACCTCAACATATTTTTAGAAATGATGGGAAGTATTTGTTTCTAAGGATGAGGTTGAAGTGCAGGTGACGTCCACAACAAAAGCGAAGATAACGCCAAGCCATTCGCATGCACTTCGTGGTAAGTTTGTGAGTCACAAGTTCCAACAACAGTAAAATCATATCATGCAGCTATCGACCACAAATTATAGGCCCTGAACATTTATCATTTCAGAGTGAACCAGGTATAAACATCCAAGGTTTTGGAAATGAATGATTATTAAAACGGATGATTCGCGCCACAGGGTCGATCTCTGTGGTTCAGACATACCCACAAATTATCTCCATCTTAATAGTAATGCTGAATTTGGTATTTTTTTCCTTCCTATCTTTCTACCACTTTTGACTACTTTCTTGTTTATATGTGTATCTTTCTCGCCTAATGTGCTGAACGTGGACCATTACATAGTGATGTCACGTTTTATTTTGATTTTGTCTGTCTATATTTTGCACAAAGAAACAGTATTATTCACCAGATGATTTTGCGAACAAAAACCTTTTTTTTATGGTTGTATCTCTTTACCTCTCGAATAGGTGGTAGAATTTTCCAGTTGTCTGGAATAGGTACTGGTCATTTTTAGTGCATGTATTCGATATAGATTCGTCCTTTATCAATCTTCCCCACCATCTCGATAAGTCACATTCTACGACTAACTTTTCCCTATCTATCGTGTGATTACATGTATCGTAACAACTGAACTTTTCTCTAGATTGCTCACCTTACTAGGGTCCACCATTCTGATCCGGTCAATCTTTATGTTTCATCGCCTAATTGACCCCATCTTAGTTTGACCCATGTACTTGACTCAAACTAGTTGCGTGGAATTTGAGATTTTTTAATCACTGATACTATTGGAGGTAGCCATGGTATCGCGAACTGGTTACTAAAACTGAAATGAAAACCTAGGCCGTGATAGGATTTGAACCGGAGGTCCTCAGGACACCGGTTTGGTGCTGTACCCGTTGAGTTGCGAGACCCAACTACGGATCACACTTTAATTTCTTTCTAACCATCAATAACTTTATCTAATGAGTTCTATAAAATCTTTTCGCTTTTTTCTATATAGTCTTCAAGTTTAAAATTCTCCTCTGGTTGCAGCCCTATTGGGAATCCTACGTAAACTTTCTGGGGTACTTTTCTTGTATGACAACACTGTGGAGGTTTATAATTCTCATTTCTAAGTGTCTTTTTTATTCATATTTTTCTCATAACTTCGTACTCATTTTTGAACTTGCAAAGTAATTTGAGTAGTCTGTGCTGTAAACAGTGTTAATGAGACAACTAGACAAGAGGTCAGGGCTGATTGGTGATAAGTTCAGACGATCATTAGCATTGTCTAACCAGTAATAATTAGGACTGGTGTCGAATGTCAACTCTTACCACTGACCTTGTTTTCATAGGTCAATAATTTTTAAGAAATTCACTTTGCCATATCTCGGGTTATGTGATTGGATGGTTAATAATCATCGTTGTCAAACATTCAGTAGTCTACTCTGCTTAGTGGAATAGGAAAGGGTCAAATATAACTGAAGTGAAATCTGTCACTAATTCATGTTGATTTCATACATGTTGGTTGTTGTATAATTTTGATCAGATCGAAGTTACCAAGATAGATTTATCGTAAGAACAAGTTGTATTTTAAGCACAAAGGGGATTTCCACTTGCGTTGTCTAGCACCTATCATTGGTAATCCGGTTGCTTTTTTACCAATTTAAGAACATTTCCTACCTCTCGTTTACTGGGTTCCATGTAGGTTTATACAAACACTTGGATTCACAAAACACTGGTAAGCGCTGTTGGCAGTTAGCCATCTTCATCCAATGTCTAACGCAATGTTGCTGTGGGCCAACGGATACATATTAAAACAGGCCTTATATAATATCATAGAAACTATCAGAAGCACATGCTTAGATCTGTGTAAGCCCTAGGCAGACCCAAATGAAAGTCCACCGTCCAGTTTCGTAAACAATTTGTTCTTAAACTAAACTTATCCAAGTATGTTTCATCTTATCTTACTACCGGATTTGGTTTCAAGAGCCATTACTCTTTCCTTTTTATCTTTCATATTCATTATTTCAACCTCTTCGTTACCATTTTTCATGTTGAATGCTTGATAAATGTGTAATCAGATTATTTGGCAATGTATACCACAAATGCATCTCATTTCTCACGTAAACTTTTTCTTTTAACTTTTGAATATTACTTTGTATTTTTCATCACTGCTCAGTTGATCTTAGTCTTCTTTATTTGAATATTTTGCTTTCGTATGGTTTCTTTCTGTCAAATCTGTATGTTTGCTTGAAAACGTCTTATGGCGTAGAAACTGAAAAAAGAATCAAGCATGCATGGATATTTGGTTCATTGACTAATGCCTCCAATGTCTAGTCAGTTGTACGTGGGTTTAAATCTTGATCCACCTGATTCAACCTGAGCAATGGATTAGGATGACAAGCTTGCATCCTGCAAGTTTGGTTCATAACCAAATACAAAGAAACATGTACCGAATTGACTTGTGAAAAACGATGTCACTCTTCTTCGAAACAGCAGGACGTGATGGGTTTTGTAGTTTTACCACTATCTTAACCGAAATGAGTAGTAAACCATTCTGGTATCAAAATACCATTCAGTTTAAGATATGTAGGTTATTTATCAGCAGATATATACATATTTATATTTCAATTCCTTCATTTTCTTGAAGTCTTGTAAAACTAGCCTTATTCAGCAGTCACCCTTACGTGGTCTCGTGCCACTTACCTTTCTATTATTCATAATTGGAGCTTTTCACTTTCTCTCGATGTTAGATCTCCAGAAACGAATGTTTTACACTTAAATTTCGTAAACTTACCTTACAGAAGATTTGACTCATTTTTTCTGCACCTTTTTCCGGCACATTTGTAGAATGTTTCTAAAGGTCACCCTAACACTACTGAAATAAGTAATCGTGTTTTCCCGTTTTATGAATAACTACCTTTCAGCTGAAAACAGAGAAACCTAATTGGTTGTTCCGGTCGTCGCTAGAGTGGCCTTTATAGTCACTTCATACGTATCGCTCATTTAACCGCTTTTTAAGAACACTGTTTCCCCATTTGGTTGTCTTCTACTTTTAATGTGCTAATTTATCTGTTTGCCCCAAGGACGAAAACAATGTGAATAAATAGAAGAGTTGCGTCTCTAGACTCATACCTTCTGATTAAAGTCTCTTCGCTCCGATTTCTTCTTCTTGTGCTATCTGAACAAGCTGTCGAGTACCATGTCGTTTATCTAGTATCCAGATTACTTGTCCATAGTCCACAGTATCCATAAAAGCTTTTGACACCGATAGCCGAAGCATATCCCTACATATGCGAGGAAGTCTCTTGTATAATCATTACTATTACTTCTTATTGATTTGGTGTATAAGTAACAGTATTGTTTCACTGAAGATGGAGTGCTGAAAACCTAGGTCACAGCAGGATTCACACACTAGTGGTCTTCAGGAAACAAATGTTGCTAAACTACATGTACACTTTTCAGGTTCTAAAGGAAAGTTGTGGAGTCAGCGAAATTGATTGTGAAGACATATGCTCACCGGCGATACTGGATGACGATCACGCTAAATCATGAACGCATAGGAGTAGGACAATATAAACCACCGAATTCTAACTCGATGGTTGAATGCCGATCTGCTTATTGTGAGGATTTACGGCTTTGCGTTCCAACTTTCACGGGGATATGAATACGCACTACTGAAGAGTTTTGAAGTAGGACGAAACAGCATCTTAGGTTTTGAATGGTTTTACAGCTAATATCAATACATAATGAAAACAGTCTTTAATTCACATAATTCTGTGTAATCGAACAGTTGAATCTTTTCTATTTCTGATTATCTCGCTTCCAATTTTTTAGCTGGTGTTCATTTATGTGACACTTGTTTCATTGCGTTTTCTAATTTTTCAAAGCCTTTAAGTGTCTATTAACCCCCGCTTACACTTACGTAATCCATAAAATTAACATGGTATTTCTAGGAAATTAAGTTACAAGATGATGAAAATCTATGTAATTCTCGATAGGAAATATACATCAATCGATGAAGTTATGTTCTGACGTTGGCTAAGGTATATTTTACTTATGATTTACAGCTCTCCCACGAAGTGCGATGGTGGGATGAAGAACAGAGAGAGTTAAGATGACAGATAGCTCAGACTCAGCAGCATACACCATTAAGTCATTGACCGTTAGTGTTAACCGTGTAGGATAGTTAAAGTTACTTGGTTAAGGTTCCTGGAATTCTAAAAATCAGTGTTTGGAGTTTTTGGAGTAAATGACTCAAAGTAGACTTCTATAGCGCAAACATATTCCTTCACCTCACCCAAAATTGTATGCATCTTATTGCTCTTTATATATTGGTTACTTCTCTAACTGCGTACTTTTTGTCATACTTCCTAACACTGCTGAAGTGATGTACTTTTTTTGAGTTTCAGGTTTGTTGTTATTCATCCGTCTGCTTATTTCATAAAAGGGAAGGAATTGTGTAAAATCAATTTTTTACATTTAAAGAAACAATGAGAATAGGCAGCATGAGATTTTAAATATATAATTAAACCGTATTTATCAATAAATTTATCAAACAATATCAATCCTAAAATACAATTCTATATGCAAATATTTTTGTCTACTATCATAACACCCGCCGTTTTAACTATTAAAACAAAAAAGATTACAGTTTAATACTCATTTCTGATTGTCTATATGAATTACCAAATTAGTGTTCGGGACATTTTAAAATTAGTTCTGGTGTGTATCTTTCTTGTAGTGTAACTACATAATATCCAATTAAGCTCAGAAGAAAAATGCAAGCTAGTGCAAATAAACTAGAAAGAAACCATAATAAATGTTTATTGATACTGTACTATCAGAATAAACTAATACGAATGCATTTTAATTTTGGAAAGGACTGAGGTATCATCTCGTTCACAGATTATATTTGAACCAGCCATATATATGACTGAACAGAAATGTATATTTCCATTGCAAACAGTTTTATATTTATGTAGATCATGTGAAGTGTTCTAGAATGAACAAAAATTGCATTTTACTGTCTATATACATGACAATGTGTGTACGTAGTAGGAATATTAAGTTGTGCAGAAAAACTAAGTTATAACCTGAGTACTATTTAACTTTACATAAGAGTGGATCAGTTCGATGCGATAGGTAATTCAATTGTTGAATTTTGAATGTTCGCCAACTGAGGTGACTTAGATATTCGTTGTACCAACTTGTTAATTCAAGTATAAATAGGTTTGAAGTTAAGGATGGCCAAATCAAGAAAAGGCACTAATTCATAAAGACTCTAACTGCTATCCTTGACCATATAGGAAGGTGCTGACTACTTGACTGGGATCGTCAAAATAATTAGAATCACAAGCGGCAAACTCTTGATGTTATGCCTGAAAACTCATCACAGTGAGCTAAATGCAGTCAGTCATTAAATTTTTGAAAACTTTTACTACCCTTCACTTACCTATTTCTTGCCTCATACTATTTCGTTTCACTTCTTCTAATTGTTCTGTGAATTATGGTAACTTGAAGTAACATATTTCTTCATGAGGTCCTACGGTTAATTATTTGTTTCTAATCCACTTTAAATCCGCAGGACGAGAGGAGAACAGTAAGAAGAAGTAAACTCCTAAATAAACTAGAAGATGAGCATTGTAGAATAATACGATTTATGAGTATCTTGAGTGAAAATAACACAAGATTTCTATCGGAGTATATTCACCTAAGTTTACATCACCATCAACGTATTGATATGATCCTTTGCACTCCTTACAAATGCTTCAAGAGCATATCTTAAAGGGACTAAAGTGAGACTTGATTTATCTCGGGAAATGCACATAGTTTTATAATGAATTTAATTTTTAGGTTAACATATTCATTTACCAGTCACAATCGGTTGACTGAATACCACAGAATAGAGATTGGGTTTGACCAAAGATAATCCATTTGGGAACCATTTAAGTGAATATGTTTCAATAACTTCTTCTCAGGTCTTAAAGTTATAAAGCCGTTACATTTATTTTGTTAACTACATAGACATATTATGACCATGTACTCCTTATTCCTCATTTCTTTGTCTCATTTCTTCGTTGAAACATCATAGTTGCAGAATATATTATTATCATTACACTATTGCAATGTATGCCTTATTACTATCGCCACTGTAAATCGTCTCTTACCCTTACCCCTACGTAGATAAAATAATCTTATACGGAAAAATGGATTACTCGTAAGTAGGTATATAAACATAGATTATTTTTTTCAATTTCGTAAAAGATTTTTTGATTAGACTAAGGTATTTTCGGTTTGATATACTATTGCTAATGTAACAGAATGGTGTTTGAAGTAGAAAGAAATACCTAGTTTGTATAAGGACTCGAAATTACAGTTTATGCATTAGCGACCAGATCTATAGTCTAAAGAGATGCAAGGTTCATCTACAAAACTAGGTTTGGATTTCATTCCAGTCACCAAAGAGTTTTCACCGTTGTGATGTGAATGACTGATCTCTAACCTTTTACCCACCATCACGTCCACCGTTCACCGAAGTAGCAGCCGAATTCAGTTGAGATGAATTATCGATACAGAAAAACATTTATTACTGTTTGAACTTGAAATTTTGGAATTCTGGTATCAAAAACTCAATGGGATATGGCTCAAAGTCGGTCATTTTCAAATCTTGAGCATTTTTAAACAACTTCAAATGTTCATTATTCCTCCTGTAATACAATTTTGTGTGATGTACTATCATTATGTTACGTTCCACTTTCACTCCATCTGCTGGTGCGAAATGTGACGCGCTTATGTGCCAGGTTTTACCCCGATTGACCTGTTCTGTCTGTGTGTATTTGTCATAATTCCACTTGACAGACTTTTGCGATGCAGATTGTGTCTTTTTATTCAGTAATCCTTTCCATGATAAAAAATTATTGGTCGTGGCAACAGATAGGCGAGCTGAATGCTTACTAATGAATACACATTACCCAAACTATCCATAAGATAATAGTAAATGATCACATTGACCAGTGTCAGTGGCGCAGATGTATACATACATTATCCTCATCTTAAAGACGCTGTAACGAATCTCACCATTTCCTTGTTTTCGTTTCCCTCTTGGCACTTTATATTTCTTTTGACTGAACTTTCTTATCTTCATCTTGCACCTCACTGCCTTTTTACTTGATGTACTGATATGAGCTGTAGCAATTCGGACCGTTACGCAGTAATGCCTGGTCCTATGTTGATATTGATGATGATAACCGGAGAAGTATGCATACACTCTTAATTACATATATCTGATTGTACCATCACTTTTGATTAAAAGGTTGGTAAACAACTTTGAACTGAATGCTTGTCTAATACTTACCATGAATTAGTAATCCCTTCGTTCTTGTCAATGTATACATTAGGGGGTTTGGATATTTTACGGTTGAACTTACATAAATTATTCACGGATGGGTAACCCGTTAGACACTTCGAGTCAGAACGGGACCTGGCACTACTGCTTAACGGCCTAACTTGCCACACATCATATCAGCACACTTGAGTCACCATTTTCTCTGTTCACATGGACCCTTATCGGAAGATCTACATTGTCCTATATGGCTCAGACTAAGAGTCGAAACTTCATAAACCAGTGCCTTGTTTTTGCGTGGCCACGTCTAACCTTTTTTGACCTTAACCTAATTCATCCAACATTATGTGACGAGTAGAAAGTGAATTTTCATAATCTCATCAACGAATACCCTCTTCTATCGAAAACTCTTAACCTGATTTCTGCGTTACTGACTTAGTGACACTTCGACATACAGCCTATGCTAAAAAGACGATGGTGATCAGACACCCGAAGCCTCCTTATATCCCGTACCTTTAGTGGTCATGTGTCACGTCTATATAGCAAAGCGGAGCGAACTGCAGATAATACATTCGACAATCGAATATCTTGCCAGCCCCATAAATGGCATAAGTAGACGAAAGTCAATCGAGCCTTTTTTCCTATAATTAGATGAACATATTGGATCATAAATTCCCTTTTTATCAAGCTGTGTCAACAGTATACACACTCGTAATCGTTAGTCATAACTATACAGCAGAATTCGAGTTGATATAAATGGTTGTATTTTCATAATGCTTAAAAGGGGAGTTTGAGATGCATGGATGTTTACTTTGGCTTATGTGTCATCAGTTAAATATGTATGCCACTGCATTTGTTGATGTAGCTATTACTGGAATCAAACATCTGTAATTCCAAGCCATATTTAACGAATGAAAAATAATAACTACTGAAAACAACAAACAATACCCACAAACTTCATAAATGATAAAAAATAAATGCAAAGTTGATGTGTAATAGATAGCAGCAATTCACTCACTGCAGTAGTTTCCATCTGTTTATTTGCCTCTTGAGTCTTCTGGATCCAGGTTTCAAGAAGAATAAAGAATGAAACGAATATATATGAGGTTAGTTTCTTTCAATGAAATATTCATTTCAAACAAGTAATAAATGTGGTTTCTTTTTGTGCAATGATTTCATTGAGATTTTTTTGAAACGATGGGAACAAAGTAATACTTGAGATGGTCATGCGTTATTCAACACTTTCCGCATCTTGCACCAGTACGGAAAGGAAACAGAAACCAAATTAAAGACAAGAAATATAACTGTCCTTGGAAGCCAGTTATACAGGCGTAGCATCAAAATTAAATCATTGTTCCCAGAGAAAGAAAAAGATAACTCAGTGTCATTGTAATCGATTTAAAGCAGTCACTTAATCTTGCACCACTAATTTTCAATATCCCATACAGTCCAACGAGTAGACCAAAGCTTTTCTATTCGATTAATATTGGCTGTTGTAGAATTGAGCGACTCAATGTTACGCCTTATGCTAGATACCCTTGAGGTTTATTAAACCTAATCCCACTTCAGCTAACACATCACATCGAGATCAGTGGGTAATTGCAGCATGCGTATCGTACATAAATCAGCCACCTCATCTGTTAGAGGTTCATGAACTCATCAACTGAATTGCCTCTTTTTTTGAATTCTTTACACTTAACTTCAGCACTTTTGCTCATGGTGTTCTAACACAGCTGAAGTCAGACCGAAGCATGGAGTCAGATCATGAAGTCCTTAACTCCTGGTTTTAATCATTCACAAAAGGCTGCCATACATAGGTCTTTTAAATGTCAGGATCCAAGGGTCAGAAACTCTTGGTAATAAGGTTCAAAATCTTCATTGTGATTCAGATGTATGTACCGTTTAGTGTCTTCAGAAATTCGGAATTTTATGTACATTTCGTTATTTATCCTCCCTTCTCTTGTAGTTTTATCTACCATATATAATTATTTTTCCATCCACTCCCTTTGTGCGCTGCTGCGAAGTGCGACGAGTTGATTTGATTCACTTCTTATAAAGCTACATACTGATTTATCTGTTTGACTCGGCAGTGATCAAATGATTCTAAGACGAGAACAGTGGTCATATATATGTTAAGGCTTCATCATTTATGGACCTCTGAAGGCTATATTAAATGGTTATAACATAATATGTCATAACAAAGTGAACTAGCGCACATCCCAGTTAGTTAACTCACGTAATCAGTCCAAATCCTATTGTAAAATGCGATATCAATCTAGATACATTTTGAAGCCACCATTCACACCCCCAAGCGTAGGAATACGTTTCGGACACTTTCAGTTTGGTTCTTGAGGCACTCAGCATCTTCTGACAAGACTGACTTATGCATACTACCTGTCAATCAAGTGATCTCTGGTAAGGTAATCAGCTTGTGTTGAACCAATAGAAGGCATGGTTTTCATATTGACATTTAAGATAAAGCCAATTAAAAGTTGGGAGAAAAAATATCTCTCAATAGTTTTCCTTTGATTTTAACTGGAACATATGAGTTCGGATATGCTGCCTTCAATAAAGTGCTATGCTTTCTGAGCATCCCTTTCGGTGAGCAAACTTGATGAAAGAAACTCCTAACTGATGCGTTCGCATTCCACTTCCAATTGACGCAAGTATACATAGTTAAGAGCTCTGCTTAGTATTCTTTTCCCCCGAGAATTGAAGAGTACTCACTCTCATAGGCAGATGTAAGACGCGTTTTCCTCGTAGTGTACCGTTTCCGAGCCAAAGTTAAGCGCTGGAAGACTACTGCACAAAAGGTTTTATACATTATTTCGACCAGCCCAATTCCTATTGAAGTAAATTACGAGTAGGAAACTGGTCTGCTTTCTCAAAAGTAATCTGACGGACAATCATCTCTCTGATAATAAAAAACAGATTAAACCGTCTTTATGAACGTATGCCGCAAGATCAACCATTAGTACTTCACTACTGGAATGCAACCGACTTGAAGGTATTGCTTTAGTTGCATTTAGTTCACGATTGAATCTAATCCGATTTTAAAGTAGAATGTCTCATTTTCTTCATAATATTCGTAAGGTGGTAGTTGTTTTACGCCAAAGTTATGGATTTTCTAGCCTTCAGTCTGGTTAACAAGTGATAGAAGACTTCTATACTGATGAATGTTGTCTAGAAAATGCAAAATACTCGTAAGGTAATTTGGAACCCTTATGCTTGATAAGAATTGAAGTCCCCTTATCCTGCATTGAATAGTTACCATACATTGTTCCAATGCACTGGAAAGTATTCAGTCCCAAGAACTGATAAGAACTAATAATTTCTGTATCTATGTGTTTTACATGCAGAACAACTAAAGTATTTACATATCGCCTAAAACTTTGTATAATTTACACTTTTTATCGCAGATAAGTGATGAGAATGACTGAGGACGAAAATAAAACCTGAGAAGACGTTTACGTCAAATATATATTACATAAAATACGTTATTTTTCATATTAGCTGATACATTTGATTCCTTCATCTATAGACAACGCATGGATGACAAGTGAGCGACATTCTGTGTTCAGTTATTGCACCTTTTATTACTGAAAACAAAGTAACCAACTGCATATATCCAAATCCACGCAGCTAGGTGCTATCACTATCCTCCATAAAAAAGGGTACACCTTATAAAATGTTGAACAGATCTGTTTGTTCTTTTGAGTTTCGACACAATGGAATTTCAAACTGAAAAGGAAATATGGGTCTAGATTTTCGTTGGGTTATGCAGAAGAAACAAGAGGTAGCTGTTTAAACATGAAGATTATAGTTTAAGCCGAAATCTTGTGAAGTTTACACAAAACTAAACAAACACATCCTATCAAGTTCCATTTGTATGCATTTTGATTCATTCACAAGACAGCTTTCTTTCTAATTGGTTAAATTTATATACCACATGGAAGTTCACTTATAAGTATATAGTTGAAGAAATATTTCAGACTGTCATATCATCTGAGCCCTGTTGGATGGGTGTGGATTATGTAGCTGATGTCTCCTGGATGTTAGATCACCAATGATATCGTTCAAAAATAACTACAGGGGGACTACTACATTCACTCTACATAGCCCTCAAAATTTTGAAAATGTTTCTCCTTTTTAGTGATCTGTCTTCACTCTTCAATGTTATTCATTTCCTAATTATTTTAATCCCTAAACTTTCTCTTTTTGAATTAGTAAATTATGTCAACATGAATCAATGCATTAATGCGTGAGGTTCGTAGGGTTGACATTTTACTTATTTCATTTGTTTCCTGTCACCTTTTGATTTGGATTAGCTTTTATTGTCTAAAATAGAACATCTGCCGATAAGTTAAACTTACTTTCATACTAGCATTCTATTTTTATTGAAAGAAATGTACATAATTCTTCTAAAGCAAGCAGTAAAATTGTTTTTAAGTATATTTTCTGACAACCAAAAGGAGCACTGCCATAATCTCATATACTCCTGAACCCGTCAATGAAACCTTAGCATGAATTTCGTTGTGTAAAAATACTGATATTACTCAGTAGAATGAATTATTTAGCTTGAGGTATACTTATGCATATATCTGTTTAAATAAATTACATTGCTTATTCATTTCACAGGACTTAAAAATCTTAGTTATCAAGTCAAATCCTCTAGACACAAGTGTGTGAGGAATGTTGTGTTGCTTACTCCTCCTGTAATATGTAAATAAATAAAAAAGAATCCGGTTTTTTACGCATCTTCAATTAGCTATCGTGACCCCGTGGCCTATTGGATAACTCCTTGGCGTTTGAAGCGGTCGGTCTCAGGTTCGAGTTATAGTGGGAATAACATCACTCAGTAAGAAGCTAGCACATCTAGCTGATGATTCCTGAACAGGGCAAAATGCGTGTCCTGGATTCCACTGCTAGTCACTAGTTATCTTTGTATTCAACTGACGGTTTGTTTGCATCATTCTCTAGCTAGCAGAATCAAGTGACTTCAATCCACAAGACTATAGGAATATATTTCTATATAAATATGGGAATAAATAAAATGATAAACATGGGATGGAGATAGAACTGATAAAAGAAGATTAAAAAGGACTTTGGAAGTTTATGCAAACCAAAAATTTAATACATCTACGCCGCTGTTATTTGTCTTAATTAATATGTTTTTTAACCTACAAAATTTGATTTCTGACCTTCCTGGCGTACCTCAGAAAAATAGTCGGTCACTTCTTACTTCAGTGCTATAAATTTATCTATGCATATTTAGTCTTCCTTCCATCTAATTCTATTACTCTAGTTAGCATCTCGCATTAGGCGTATCACGTGTTACACATGTCTCAGTCACCTCGATTAGTACAAGTTTACAGTTACATGGAATCAATTAGTTCAATTGTTAATAAGTGTGTGCCTCTGTTGAATATTCTTGCCCCATGGTTCTGCCACAGACAGGTAGTGTTACAAAGGCAGCTATGACCAAGTGAATATATCCTCTTAATGTGCTCCACCAGTAAAGTTAAAATAAGATGGGCTTGCATATATGATATTCGCCCAACTAGGTCTAGTCGAACATCTCAAAGGCACCAAGAGTAGCATAAGTTGAAGCATAAAAATTTGGAGTATCTGTTAACATTTCGTAATTGGTCCGTTCATTATAGTTGGTGAACCCTTAAAAATGAATGAAGCACAGAAATTGCCAAATTGATTTACTCCATACACTCAAAAACAACAAGTCGGTAGAGGCTAAAGATGCAACAAAGTTCTACCATTATATTGTCTTATTTGAGTTTCTTCAATGCAGATAGTTAAAATGCATAATCTGAATGTAAAATAACTCACTTTAGCGATCACATTTATTATCATAGATTCAAAAGACTGCTTTGTTTTTCGATTGATCAAAGTGAATTTATGCTCCCCCACTTTTTCTTCAATTAGTGTTGTATGAAACGTCAAATACAAAATTTTATCTTCAGTTCCTATTGCATTAAAATAAATTTCATGATTTAAGTTATTATTATGATTGTTGTTGTTGTTAGCAAACGTCTGATGATCAGTTATTATTGGTTGTTTATTTCGATTAACTTTAAAAGTGACTTGAATTGTTCCCATTGGATAATGCCATATCATTTGAAATTCTTGGTCAATATCAGTTAAGCCACATGCTGTTATATTTACTATTGAAACAAAGTACAAATCTTTTACAGATGACTTTAATTCAACATAATGTTAGGCATAAGCTGTAAATTTGTTTCACCGAATATTGGAAAATATAATGACACAGTATGTGGTTCCAATGCATTATCTCCATCATCTGATAAATATCCAAGATTATCACTTGTATAAGCTATAAATAATAACCATGTTTGAAACCATTGAGCAACATCTGCAGACAAAACGGTCATATTTTTATGTTATTATTTTTGTGTAGGTGTAGGTATCCATTACTGTGAACGTGTAAACACACCTTTCAGGATATATTCATAAGCCCTTTGAACGGATGCACATTGATCAATGAAAACGGATCGATCAATGCTCAGTTCATCATATCCGTTGAAGTATATTCCAATACTAAAAATCTGCAATCATACATGTATCTTTTTCTGTGCACAATAATGAAATTAGGTCACATAATTTGATCAAAGAAGAATGCTATAGAAAATACCATTCTTGTGTAGCAAGAGAAAGCTAATTATGGCTACACATGAGAAAGGAGTAGAGAAATTACACTGACTATAAACTGTTAGCACTTTTTGTTTTTAATACAACTTATAAATATTCTGTCCAGTCATGTAACAGATTACTGGACGATTTCCCTTTGCATAATCATTTGTTTACCTTCTGTTTACACAACTGACACTATCCTAAAATAATTAATTGTTTTACAGGACTTAATTAGTTTGAAGGCAGATTAAAACGTCAAAGAATTATTGATAACAAAGGATCAAGGAACAGCCTGTTTTTAAAAACGTCCTTAGAACTTTCTAGTGAAACATGATGTTGACTGTTTTGGAAAACTAACTAGAAATAAGTATGTTTTTTTAAGTCAGGAGAGTTTGGTTATAAGTGTTGTATAAACTTAAGAACGTAGTTGATGAGCTGTGACCTGAACAACTGAAACCGATATTCACTGCTGATATCATTCCGGTTTTATGAGTGCAATCTTCAGATAAATGTGTATGGTTTTAACTTTCTTTGTGAAAGTGTTTATTTTTTGATACTTTTGTGTCAGAGTTAACAACCTATCTTCTGGCTGCAGTAGCTTTTAATAAAGATCCTATTGACAGTATACTTGAACGGATGGAATTTACTTGACTGTAAGAAATGTCCAAGTAGGTTGTATTATCAGTAAATAATCTGAAAGCTATCCGTTTATTTATGACATCTCATTAACTATTATGAACATTCTGCTCAATAATCATCCCATTGCTGAAGGCTTGCTTGTTACTAAAGAAAATGTTTTTAATATGAAATATCTTTCTGTTGTTAACTGGAGGACTGCAACTTATTTATTTATTCTGTAAGCTAAATCGATATCTATTGCATGAATGGGTTTCTAAATCATGTATTACGAATAAACTATCTGTTGACTTTAATACGAATGAAGTCATACAATAAAAGAATATGCTTTTTGGGGAGCCGAAAAACAGAAGGCCGCAAGTTAGATAATCAATAAAGCCCAAAATGTAAATTGTTTATGTATATTAGTTAATAAACAAGATTCATGATTTTATACTGGACGATGACTGAAGGTAAAATGAAAATTTGGGCCGCGACCGGATTAGAACTAGAGACCATCGGGTTTCCAGTCCGATGCTCTACCAATTGAGCTACGAGATCTGACTGGTGACCAGATTTCTATTTCATTTCAATCACGAAGAGTTTTGCCCAACTACCATGTGAATTTGTGATGCGTTACTACCGCTTGGTCGTATTCATACTGGCTGCAAAACCTTTAGTTCTTGAAGTGAAATAAAAATCTGGTCGGCAGTCGGACCTTGCAGTTCAGTTGGTAGAGCATAGGGCCGAAAACCCCATGGTCACTGGTTCGGTTCTGGCCGCAGTCCAAATTTTCATTTCACCTTCAATCATCACCCAGTATAAATACTAGTCTGCTAAACTATGACTACCTCAGTTAAATAATAATTCCTGATTTTCATAATTGTATTTCCCTAATCTAACAACAAAGTCTTCTGGTTTTCTGCCTAAAATGTACACATTCAGGAGCAGACTAGGTGTGTGTGTGTGCTAAATACTGGATGGATAAAATAGTTAATATTAACTGACCGTACAACATGCAGCATAACAACATAGCACATTATGAATAAGTTTGGTGACCTCATGCCAAAATTGATCAGTGCGTAAAACTAAATTAATTGCAACAAATAACCAAGAAACAAACTCAGTGCATAATGAACTACTTCACAGTCGCCTTGGAACGCAAATCGCAGAGTTTTAAAATTGAAAATATTGCTTCTCATAAGAAAAGGTAATGTCAAAATTTTACTCACTTCCGACTTTCTTTGCCAGTCATACTCCTCTCAACATTGGGAATAACCCGTATCCAAAAGTTTTGTTAGTTGCAATGGTTGGTTATGTTTTGAATGGTAATACATTTTAATCTATTTTTAATTGTGCTTACTTACCTTACCTAAGCTTCAACGTAGCAAACACCAAAATGGTAGCGAGGGAATCCGCTTAGTACGGAAAAAGAACTGGTTCATAAAAATTGATTTTGGAGATCTCCAAAAACCGTCTAACCCATAGTTATGGAAGACTTTCTTTTCTGCTGAAATTCGGACTAGTTTCTAAAGTCGACAATCGACTAGTGAATGTGTTAAGGACATACTATCCCCTACTATCACATCAGTGTAATTTTACAAGTTTGTTCTCTCTTTCGGAGTTAGTCAAATAAATTAGACACTTTCCAATCGCATCTATATAAACTATTCTACATTTTTATCGTAAATTCACTGAAAGTTTATTAATGATTCAAAAAATAACCGTCCAATCGTTTTACGTCCACCGGAATCCTCTGTCAAAATTATCTAAAAAGTTTAGCTGAATGGATCAAAAAAAGTATAATCCGGTAAATTGTGCACAGCAAAGGCACTGGAAATCTATCAATGCAGCGAAGAGGGATGTACAGTCTCTTTTTTTCATATTCTTCATTCCCCTTTCCAATTTTATCGCTTCGTTAATAATCTAATTACAATTCGCACTTTATTAGAATCCTTTCTTCTTCGACTTCACACATAACCATTTCACTTTACATCTAGAAACTATTTCCATCTTACTGAATTTCTAATATTTCTGTGTTTTGACATAACTATTTCCTTTATTCATGAAGATTATATCACTAAAGCAACTCCACCCCACTGACTAATGATAGATGATTGTTTTTTTCCAGTGACTACAAATACTACTGTACACACTTAGTAAAGGATATAGTCAAAAAGGAAAATATTCTCCACTGAATTATGTTTTTAATTTGGATAAGGATTTTATTACTGTAAATAATGATGCGGCAGATTTTATCGATGGCACTAAAAACGTAAACTGAATAGTGCAATACTTTTTGGGAATCTGACGTGACAAAATCAAAAAATTAGGCTCTAGAGTTTAAGCTCATATTAAATAATCTTGCTATATCAGTTTTCTTTCTTTTATAAAATGAAAGATTTCAATCTCTGTTTTATAGTTCGATGTTTTGATTACTCATTAACTAATACATTTCAATCAGGTTGTTATAAGGGATAGAAAGACAGCTGTTGGTTAATATTTTCCATGCGAAATTCGGACTAAATATTCGTCCTTTACCTTGATCATATGATTTATCGATTATGAACCTTGTTGTGTCACTGACATTTTTTATTTATCAACTATTTACCAGTGTCTGAGAAGACTATTTTTCTATATTAAAATTGGCAGTTATTGGTCCAAAAAAATATTTGAATAAACAGCTATACTTTCGGTAAGTTTTCGCCTTTTTCGGGAGGAATAAAACCTTGTCCTCCCAGTTTTATCTTCTATCTCTTTAGTAGCGTATTGGACATTATCCCAGTTGTCAGTACTTGTCGTCATGTGTTGAAGTGTTGTGGGTGTATGAAGATGGGTGTTAATTCGAAACTCATCAGTTAGGAGAAATCCCATAGTCGAGTATTTTACGAACATATCACAGGTTACGAGTGAAAAGTTAGTGCACATAGTTAGGCCACATACATAAGTAGCATATTTTTGGTTAATCGACTGTCAATTATAAACTATTCAACTTGATAAAAATAGTTACAAACAGTGAAAGAAACAACTGTTTGGCTGACAATTCCGCTAATTGCGTGAAGCGATCCAGTCAGGTATAATCAACAACCAAGCTATTCACGATAGGTTTTATCTAGTATATTGGTATCAACGTACGGGAATAGCGATCGAATCTGGAAGAAAATTTTGACCTCCCCTTTCGATCGTTTGGACTGACGGTTGAATGATGAGTTGTGAGGTAGGAACTTACTATTCACCTGAAGTGAATTCAAGTTCCATTTTTTACTTCTGTCTTGTAATTTAATTGGCAAAGCATCCAGTTAGTAGCTCAGACAAATAATGGACAGTGACTAACTCAGTCAACTAGTTGATTCCGCTTTCTAACGTTTCTCTATTTGAACTGTGATGAACATTCACAGGAGGCAGATGGGATAATGAAGAAAGAGTACTTTCATTTCACCTATTCACACAGCAAGTGGTGAAACACTTACTGATTCTAGACCATGTGAGAACTAATTAACCGTTGAGTATTTGAGCTCGTTCGATACAACACCAGTTTAGTGAAGCGAAAGCTTTTGGTTTTTGATACTACGACAATTCCACTTTTTTTGTCACATTAGATATCATTTCAAAGCACTCAAGTCCCTTCTTTATTGAGCCTTCCTCCTTACTTTTACTAGTGGTAGCAAAAACGTATGGCATACAGAATATGTTATACACAAACATTTTTTTAATATTGGAAAAATACTTCAGTAGGTGTGCCTTGGGTATAAAATCTTAGAAAATTATTCCATGATTATTCCTCTCAAAAGTGGGCTGGTCATGCGTACATACTTATGCATTTGTATGAAGTCAAATACCAGGAACACTATTATTTTCGAAAGTCAGCAAATGAACAGTCTCAACTTGTCTAAAGAAAGATTGAAAAGTCGTTACTATAGATCTGAAGTCAGTGAGAATCATTTTAACTCTTAAACCCACAAAATCTTCACATACTACCTAGACGAAGAGATGTGACATCTAAGCAACACATCTCAGTTATTATTGTCGAAATAAACTTCACCGGTTACAAGTAGTATAATATTCGACATAATAGCCGCTCACTTGTCATTTGCATAAGCTTCAACATTAGTTATCATTATGATCAAGATAAATCCATGCGATAAACTGCGGACATAAATTAAACTTTAGAAAAGTCTACAGGGAGTACAATTAGTATCAGAGAATCCCGAAGCTCTTGAAACTCCGGCTTGGCAATGATTATAAAAGTGGAAGAAATATATATATTAGCTCGTAGGACATGTCATAACACCCACAAG